AATAGGGTTTAGGGTTTAGGGTTTTCCAAATTTTTTTTTTTTTTTTTTCAGGCGTAGCTCGTTTACACGGTCGTGGTGTAGTGCATAGAGATTTAAAGCCCGAGAATGTATTAGTGTCTGCTGCTGCTGTGCCTGAGGGAGAAGAGTTATATAAGGGAGGAGTTGCTATACTAAAGATTGCTGACTTAGGCATGGCAAGAAAAATGAGACCTCTATTAGGACAACAACCAGCAGGCAAGCAGATAAAAGGGTTTAGGGTTTAGGGTTTACGGTTTACGGTTTCCTAGGGTTTAGGGTTTAGGGTTTAGTGTTTAGGGTTTATGTTTTTGTGTAGGTACTCGTGCATGGTCTTTGCCATTCCGTAACACACCATCACCATCTGGTGGTGTAAGTAGTCAGCAGCAGCAGCAGCAGCAGGAGCAGCAGCAGCAGCAGCAGGAGGAATGTGGCTATTTAGGGGAGGGGCCCCGGGGGCCCCATGAATGGAGTCAGCTAACCATGAGACAATCAGGGAGAGTTGTTACTCTCCCTTATAGACCACCAGAGATATTAGCTGCTGCTGCTGCTAATCAAAGTGCAGCAAAGTTACCTGTTAGTCCCTCCTCCTGCTGCTGCTGCTGCTGCTGCTGCTGCTGTTGTTGTTGTTGCACTGCCTGTAGCTAACTCATCTGTTCGAATATTTGCCTGAAATATCTCTCTAGGGTTTAGGGTTTAGGGTTTAGGGTTTAGTATGCCATCTGAATTAAACCCTAAATAACTAAATAACTAAGTAAATAAATAAAATAAATAAATAAATAAATAAATAAATTAGTAGATAAATATATTTATTTGTTGTGTTAATTTGTGTATAGGTAGCATCATTCTCTTCTGCATGCGATATATGGTCAATAGGTGTTATATTATTAGAGTTATGTTTACCACAAACCCTAAACCCTAAACCCTACCGATGGAGTTTTGCATTTGTTTATCATTGTGTATCTCGTGCTAATTTTAGTATGGAGTTTATGATCTTAGAGAATATATTTAAGGTATTAGGTAAACCCTCAGACCCTGCACATCTACAAGATATGCTCAGGTAACTATCCCCCTATACACGATCCCATACACGATCCCAACGATCCTATACACGATCCCACACGATCCCAACGATCCCACACGATCCCATACACGATCCCATACACGATCCCATACACGATCTCAGACACGATCCCAATAACGATCCCATACACGATCCCGATCCCATACACGATCCCAGACGATCCCAGACGATCCCAACGATCCAATAGTATGGATGCATAAATCCATGGATATATTTATATATTTATTCATACATTATTATGTTTTTTTTCTTTTTTTGTTCTTTTTTTTTCCCCCCTTCCCTCCCTCCATGCAGACTATCTGGTGACCAGAAAGAAGCATTAACAAGTTTTTTTGGTGCTTTTCCTTCGTTAACACATAATGAGAGGAAAGGAGCATTATTAGATTTTATATTAGAGAGAGGAGGTCTTCCTCTTGATGCATTAGGTCTTGATCTACTCGCTAGGTAATTCCTGCTGCTCCTGCTCCTGCTGCTGCTGCTGTTGCTGTTGCTGCTGTTGCTGCCTATGGTTGTGGTGATGGAAAGAGGAGGTCTTCCTCTTGATGTATTAGGCCTTTATCTTCTTCCTAGTTATGTGTCTCCTTATGTGTCTCCTTATCTGTCTCCTTATGTGTCTCCTTGTGTGTCTCCTTATGTGTCTCCTTATGTGTCTCCTTATGTGTCTCCTTATGTGTCTCCTTATGTGTCTCCTTTTTTTTTCTTAGATTACTACATGTGTCTCCATCAAGGAGACTATCTAAATAAATAAATAAATAAATAAATAAATAAATAAATAAATTAAATAAATAAATGTCCTTATGTGTCTCCTTTTTTTTCTTAGATTACTACATGTGTCTCCATCAAGGAGACTATAATAAATAAATAAATAAATAAATAAATGTCCCTATGTGTCTCCTTTTTTTTCTTAGATTACTGCATGTGTCTCCATCAAGGAGACTATCTGCTCATTCAGCTTTATCTCATCCTTGGTTTCATGATTTACCATTTGAGCATATGAATAGATTAGGATTATCCTTCCATCTTGCAGGCAAAACCCTAAACCCTAAACCCTAAACCCTAAACCCTAATTTTTATTTATATATATAAAGTATATATATGTATGTATAGAGGATTCCTATATATGTTTAATACAATAAAATATACATATATAATATACATATAATATATATATATATATATA